CTATCTAATTCAGCTGCCTACAACACTGCTTTGCTCTTGTTCCTCAGGATTGCTTTTGTTATTCTGAGTCTCTTCTGGTCCCTAAGAATTTTAGGATTGTTTTCTCTTAATTCTGTGAAGAATTGGTATTTTTACTGGAATTGTGTTAAATCTGTCTCATCAATTTTTGAAGTGTGGCCATTTTCATAGTATTGGTTCTGCCTATCTAGGAACAGGGACTGTCTTTCCTATCCAGGAACAGGGGAATGTCTTTCCATTTTCCAATGCCCCATTTGATTTTTTGACAGTGTTACAGTTTTTGTTATAGAGGTCTTTCACTTCGTTGGTTAGGTTAATTTCTGAGTGCTTAATTTTTCTTGATGTTACTATGAATGGTAGGTATTATTTTCCTAATGTCTTCCTGGGTGGGTTCTTTATTGGTATACGAGAATGCCGTTGACTTTTTAGCATTAAGTTTTGTCTGCTGCCACCTTGCTGAATTTGTTCACTAGTTCTAGTTTTTTGGTGAAATTTTTTTGGTCTTCTATATAAAGGTTATATTGTCTGCTAATAAGGATAATTTTCTTTCTTTATTTCTGATATTATCCCTTTTATTTATTTCTCTTACTTGGTTGCTGTGGCTGATGTATTGAGTACTACACAATATTGAACAGCAGTGGTGACAGTGAGCATCCTTGTTTTGTTCCTGATTTTAAAGGGACAGCTTTTAGTTTTTTCCCCATTTAATATGTTGAAAGTTTTGTCATAAGTGGATTTTGGTAAGTTCCCTCTATACCTATTTTCTTGAGGATTTTTAAAAAAAATCATGAATGGTTGCTGAATTTTGTCACAGGCTTTTCTGTATCTATTGATATGATTATGGAATTTTTTTGTTTGTTTCTGAGATGTATTACATTTGTTGACTTGCATATTTGAACCTCCCTGCATACTTGGGATGAATCCAAGTATTTATCCAAAAGGATGAATCCTTTTGATGGTTTGCTGTATCCCATTTACTACTATCTTACTGAGGATTTTCGCATCTATACTCATTAAATATATTGCCCTATGGTTTTCTTATTTTGGTTGGAGATTGCTTGGTTTTGGAATCAAGGTAGAGCTAGCTTCCACGAATGAGTTTGGCAGTGCTCCTTTCAGTTTTATTGAAGAGTTTGAGGAGTGTTTGTGTTAGATCTTGTTTAAATTCAGCAGTGAAACAGTTGGGTCCTGAAATTTTCTTTTTTTGTTGTTGCTCGAATGCCTTCAGGGCACTTTTGGCCAGCGGGAGAGGTGTGAGGTTCGAACTCCAGCAACCTGAGGCTGACAGCTTTGTGGAAGCAGCCACTTAAAGGCCTGAGCTAGGGCCAGGCCCCCTGAAATTTTCTTATTTGATACGTTATAATTACCGTTTCATATTTATTGCCAGTTTCTGGGTGGTTTAGGTTTTTACATCTTGATGCAGTTTTGACAGTTCGTATTTATCTAGGAATCCATTCTGGATTCTCCAATTTATTGAAGTACGTATTTTCAAAGTAGTTACTATGAATCTTCTGGACTTCTCTGGTGTCTTGTGATTTTACCTTTTTGTATTCCCAATTATATTGCCTTAGGGCTTTCCTTTTATTTTTATTTTTTAAAGATTGGCTAAGGGTTTGTCTATTTATATTCTTTGAAGGAATTAGCTCTTTGATCTTTTTCTTTTCGTGGTAGTATGAAAGTCTTGATTTCATTAGTTTCTGCACTGGTTTTTATAATTCCCTTCCTTGTATAGCTTTGGATTTAGATTATTCTTGTTCTTTTAGGACATTGAGGTGTGTCATTAGTTTATTTATTTGGGCTCATCTACTTTTTCTTTTTTTATGTTCGTGGTACTGGGGATTGAACTCGGGACCTTGTGCTTGCCAGGCAAGTGCTTATTCTATTGAGCTCTCTCCCTGGCATTCATCTACTTTTCTGATACACACATTCAGAGTTATGGAATTCTCTCTTAGGACTGATTTTTTTGTGTTCCATAGATTCTGTTTTTTTTTGGAACCAGGTATTGAACTCAGACCCTTATGCTTGCTAGGGAAGCGCTTATTCCACTGAGCCATCTCCCCGGCCCCGATTCTGGTTTTTTTGAGTGGCATTATTGTTTGGGTCTGAGAATTACCCAATTTCTTCTTCGATTTATTCTGTGGTTCACTGATTATTCAGGAGTGTATTGCTTAATTTTCATATGTTTGCATAAGTGGTTTCTTTTGCCATTGATTTCTAGTTTTACTGTATTATAACCTGATAATATGCATGGGGTTATTTTGATTCTTTTGCACTTATGCATGCTTTATTGGGCTAGTATGTGATCTGTTTTGGAGAGTTCCATGTACTGCTGAGAAGATTGTATATTATTTTTGTTGTTGGGTGGAACACTGCAGTAATCTATTGTGTCTGTTTGAAGGTGAATTTAGTATATATATATATAT